CCCCAGACGCAGGGTGACGTGTCGGTTAGGCGCAGACGAGTCTATATTGGCATGTGAAATTAAAATGATGGGATAGCCCGGCAGCACTGGGGCCCTGGGTTCAGTTCCTGGGGTGCTGTCTGTGTGGAGTTTGCATGTTCTCCACGTGTTCCCATGGGTTCCCTCCCACAGTTCAGAGACATGCTGGTGGGTTAATTGGCTTCTGGGACAACTGGACCTGCTGTGAGCGTGTGTGTCTGTGTGTGTGTGTGCCCTGCGATAGACTGGCTTCGCCCCCAGGGTGTACCCTGCCTCCTGCCCATTGCTTGCTGGGATAAGACTCCGGGATAAGGCTGCCCCACAGCCCTGAATCAGATAAAGCTGATGTATTTTTACGCTATATCATCGAGTCTTCAAACTGGTGGGCACCACTGGAGGTATCAGGACCCTGAAGGAGCTGCAGGTATTTCTGTCCAGATCCAGCACGGGGCCCTGTGTGAGCGCTGAGTGCTCTGAGAGCCCTCAGGAAGAGGCTGGGTAGTCAGTGGTCAGCTGGTCCCAGGAACTCACCCAGCTGACGGCTGAAAGAAACCGGCTTCAACACCCTGGCCGGGCAGCTTGTTCCAGACTCCTGCCACCCTTTGTGTAAACAAGAGCCTCCTGTCCTGACTGGAGGACCTCCTCCAGCTGTGTCTTTAGAGTATTCAATCAGCAGCGTGCCTGGGCACTCTGTTCCACCCTCCCACCACCGTTTGTGTAAAGACTGTGACCAGATTGGAGGCTGTCATCCATAAAGCGCACAGCCACAGTAACGGCTTCAACAGCCTCACAGGAAGCCTCATGTAGCTGCACCGACCCGGACCGCACCGATATTCGGTTGCCACCGTAGAAAACAAGAGGAGCCTGATGGCGTCGAGCGAAGAAGTTGTGAAGCTCCTGCTGAAGAAAGTGCGGAGAGAGAAGAAGATTATGACAGAAACCCCATTCGGAAGTGGGGTGCAGATTATCGTCAGTGATACGGCGCTATGAGTCTCGGCTCTCAGACAGGGCTGGCTGCAGCCGGGCGCGGAGCTGCGGGTTTGCAGTTGAAAGCCGTGGCAGGAAGTCAGGCAGAGCGGAGCGAGATCGCTGGCGTGATAGGCGAGCCGGCGAGCGGCTGCTCTCTCGGGCACAGCTGAATCTCGGGCCTCGATGTTCAGTCTGTCTCCGTCTGGTGTGGTTTGGCGCGCTGCCCCAGAGACCCGTCTGTCCCATCAGCCCCCATCGGTCTGCTCGTGTGGGCACTGGTCTGTCTGTGTGTGAGCCTGTCTCTCTCTCTCTGCCTGTCTGTCTGTGTGTGAGCCTGTCTCTCTCTCTCTGCCTGTGCGTGAGCCTGTCTCTGTCTCTCTGCCTACCTGTCTGTGAGCCTGTCTCTCTCTCTCTCTCCCTCTGCCTGTCTGTCTGTGTGTGAGCCTGTCTCTCTCTCTCTGCCTGTCTGCCTGTGCGTGAGCCTGTCTCTGTCTCTCTGCCTGCCTGTGTGTGAGCCTGTCTCCGTCTCTCTGCCTGTCTGTGAGCCTGTCTCTCTCTACCTGTCTGTCTGTGAGCCTGTCTCTCTCTCTGCCTGTCTGCCTGTGTGTGAGCCTGTCTCCGTCTCACTGCCTGTCTGTGAGCCTGTCTCTCTCTCTCTCTACCTGTCTGTCTGTGAGCCTGTCTCTCTCTCTGCCTGTCTGCCTGTGTGTGAGCCTGTCTCCGTCTCTCTGCCTGTCTGCCTGTGTGTGTGCACCTGTCTGTGAGCCTGTGAGCCTGTCTCGTCAGCAGAGGCTGTGTAGCCTGTCCTGATCTCAGCAAGCCGCTGAGCGCCTCGCTGTGGTGGGGACGGAGGACAGCAGCCGCCCCCAGGGCGCT